AAAAAACTCGTCCTTGATTGTTGCTCTGCTCATTTAATATCGGTTCCTTACCTAAAAGCCTGAATGTTTACTACTACAGCCTGACATGATCAGATGTTCATCTTTATTTCAGTTTGAACAAATAATTTTTGAAAAACGATTTACCTTCACCTTGATTTTAGCGTAGTAAATGGGGTGCTGAATTCCGAGGCGATATATGTGAATAAATCTTTGCAAAACGATTTGACTACAACAAGAAACGGTATCGACCAACACTTTGGTTCTATTTCAAAACTACCTTCGAGTCCCACTTCACTGACAGCATTCAGCACCAATAATAGGTTGAAATTCATAGTTATTTTATCTTCACACCTTTTTTTGTTTGCGAAATTCTACGAATGCAGAAAGTAGAAATACCGATTTGAACTGGTATAATGTTGAATGTTGTTTTTTAATTACAAGACTAAGCTTAGCTTCTTGTAGCAAGATTTGTGATCATGGTAAAGAAAAGTCGCAGCATCGAAATCAGATGCCAATGTCAGCACGTAAAATGGCGAAACCTGATAGCTTTAAAACGGTATTCTTGCTGATCACTAATAACACACAAAAAATACTGATGTAAATAAAGGCCAGTGCGTCATATCCGATGTTTAAATTTATTATTGCATTACGTTTTTAAATTGCACAAAAGTTGTTTTTTTTTTGTTTTTGGCTGTTTCGTACAGTAGATATTTGGTTTTTTAGAATAATTTCAAAAACGACCTTATAAAAATATATCGTTTTTATTTCTAAAATTTTTGTTTTATTTTATCTTATGATATATAAAAAACACCAAGAACTGTACAGTATTGACACAAATGAATGCTGTTATTGTTGTTAATACAGGTGATGTGTAAAGGGTGGCTTGAAATGGGTGGTTGCGGATTTGGACAAAATTGTCGGTTTGCACATGGCGAAGAAGAACTTCGTCCAACAAAGTAAATTCGTTTGCACTTAATCAGTTAATTTTAAACGACATTGAAAGATTTCAAACAGTTTCCTATGTTTGAAATAGAATTTTCTTAAAAATTAAAAAATTTTGTATAATTAATGAGTTTTTTTGTTAATAAGCATTTCGATTTTTTCGACATATCAGTCAGTATTTACTTTCTCTACTTATCAGTACACCGAAATATTTTATTTCTATACAGAGAGGAAAATGTATCTGCTCTAGAATTGGTAAATTCTATAACTAATTAGAATTGCTGTTGTGCCAGCAACTTATTGATCTAAAAAACAATTTTGTATGCTGTTCAGAATTCCAATAGATAATCCGAAGTATAAGACAAAACTCTGCGATAAATATACGAGAACCGGCGTTTGTCCATACGGTGACAGATGTTTGTTCATACATCCGGAAAGCGCGAATTCAAACGGCGGTCCAACGAATCCGTATATTCATCCAGATCGTGTTCGTTTATTTTATCTTTTTTTTTTTTTTCGCTCTCGTCAAATCCTACTCTATAATTTTTATGTTACTGATTCTGATTTACAGCAAGCACTTTTTTCTTTGCTTTTTCATCAATTAAATATTTAAAACAGAACTGTTGTTGTTAGCTTTTTTTCCTCCCGAGTTTGATCTTTTTTTTTTTCTATACATTTAAACTTGCGCGTATACATGTGCAATATGTACATTTTTTTTATTGGTTTGCCGGGGGGAGGAAAAGTGAGATAAACGGCAGGAGAAAAAATTGAACAATAATTTATTTTAATGAACCAGTTTTCGTTATTTTCATTTATTCTTATCCTTTTTATTCAGATGATGCAAATTCTGAAAGAAAGAGCTGTTTCTGCCATTAACATAAAACGAAATCATGATGATACCGTAGCGTCGAAAAGCATAACATCAATGAGTAATCCATGGTTTCTAAAATCATCGAAGTCGAACACCAACAGCAATACTGCGACGACTACCACTATCACCAACTGTAGTAACAGTAGTAGGAGCAGCAGCAGCAGCGGCAACAACAACAACAGCAACAACAACAACAGCAACAACAATGGTATTATTAACGACGACGACAGTAAAACCAATAATAAAAACAATAACAGTATTAATACGAACAACAATAAGAAGACCAGTAATAATAACACCAAAAATAGCGGTAATAAAGCAGCTGTAAGTAATACAAACGATGAGGTGTTTTTTAATCTGTCGCCTACACAGGAAAACAGTAAGTTTTATTTGGACCGTCTTTTTTTTAATGCTAATTTCGTTGTACTTTTAATTCATTTTTATAGTTTCAACTGCTCCTATAGCAACAAATAATTGTAATTTTTGGGCTGTATCTCCTGCTATATTTTAGGGCAGTTACAAGAGGATTCTGAACGGTTGCGTACATTATCGGATATCACGAATAATTCTTTTGGTGCATTGACCTTAATTTCCACTGCAAATACTATGTTTAACAGTCCAAAAGTAAGTCCGGATTCCGGAACAGGATTTGATGGTGATTCAGGTTGGGGTATACCGACACAAATTGCGGATCCATTTGATTTTGCTATTGAAAGCGATAATATCGCTCGTTCGCTAGCAATTGAATTTGCAAAGCCATTTTAGGTAACGAAATCGTTCCTGCAAACACTTATTTCTATTAGTATTATTAATTTTTTCTTCCAAATTGTTGCTTTTTTTTTGCTTATTCTGTTCTCTGTGTTTTACTTCTACAATTTATGCTGTTTTTTTTTATTACTGCCAATGTCATGGTCATGATTTTTTTTAAAGTCTACAGTT